ATATAGGATTATATCCAAGGAGTAGCTAGAAATTTTTTCTCCTATTCTGTAGATTGTACCTTTATTCTGTTGTTTGCTGTGCAGAGCTTTTTCATTTGATATAATCTCACTGGTTGTCAATTATTTTTTGTGCAAATGAGTTCTGTTCAGAAAGTCCTTGTTTACACTGTCTTTAAAGAGTTTTACCTATATTGTCATTTAGCAGATTCAGTATTTCTCTTTTCATATCTAGGTTATTGATTCCTTTTGATTTTATTTTAGTCCAGAATCAGAGATATAGGTCAATATTTATTCTACATATAGATAAAGTTTTCCTTACACCATTTTTTTAAAAAAGCCTATCTTTTCTTTAATGCATGTGTTTGGTTCCTTTGTTCCATTGTCCCTCATTTCTATTTTTGTGCCAGTACTATGTCTGTTTTTGTGCTTTTTTTTTTTTTACTGTATTTAGTACAGGGTCTATAGGATCTTGCTACGTAGATTGGACTCCTAGTGATTCTCCTTTTTTCAGCCAAGCACTGAGATTGCAGGCAAGCACCACCACTGAGTATTCTCTGAAATACATATATTTAGAGTCTGTCATATAAAAATAACCCAATACATTTATATTTTAACATCTTTAACTGTAGATGGCTACTTCACAAATAAAAGCTTCATTGTATCTAGAAAATGTTTTAAATATCAAAATTGGATCAATAACTTTAGTTTACAAAATGTTACTGAAGGTTTCTCCACTTATGACATAAGAATATTCTATGTGACCCTTAGGAATTATATGTACAGTAATTTAAGTATCCACTATAAATCCTAGATAAACAGTATTTAGGTATGTACTATAATTCTGAATTCTTTAGTATCTATTTTTCCATCAAATTCCATTACCATATGCTAATGAGGTTACCTAGGAAGTTCACAGGCACTAACCTTCACAGATCAGCTGTACATTCCTTTTATTAGCAGCAAGATTAATGCAGAGAGAAATGAGTTCCAAATCAATTCGTTCATCTGAACATTCAAAAAGCATCTTCATTAACTAGCAAAAAGCACAGGAAATGTTATTAAAAACAAAATATTATAAAATGTTTCATTTTAGACTGAAAAAGAAAATGGTTTAACAATCAATATTCCACAAAATGTAAAAGCTGTTCAATAACTGAATGAATATTTATGTAATGAACAGTTACTAGATGCTCTGCATTAAATATAAACTTCCAGGCATAATGGAGAATAGAAGAAAAATATTAGGTAATATCTCTACACCTAAGGAATTACTTGCATGCTGGGCATTCCAAGTAAGGAAAGTAGCTTATGCAAAGCCCACAATACAGAAAGGAACATAAACTGCTCTGAAGAACCTGAAAGAGTATGAGAAGGGAATGAAGAACCTGAAAGAGTATGGGTAGGGAATGAGAAATGGCTGAGAAATAAGAAGGCAAAGGACAGATAAGACAGGGTTTTGAAATACTACATGTTAAGGATTTGGGACTTCATTCTAAGGATAATTAGAAGCTACTAAAATGTTTCTAAGTAGGAAAGTATCAGGATGAGACATGTATCCCCAGAAGATCTGGATAGAGCAACAAAGACTGAACTGTGGGAAGCCATATAGGAGGCTATAGGAAAAGTCCAGGTGAGATGATGGCTGCCTACACTAGCTGGGACAATGGGGATTAATATAAAGGGATTGAGTGGAGATATGTTCACTAGGCAGAATCAAACTGGGATTTAAAAACTGACTAGATGCTGGGATTAAGGAAGAGGAAAATTTAAAAGGCTCCATAATCTTGCACTGACCTATGAAATGGATGGTGGAACTAACACAAAACAAAACAAAACAAAATTAAAATAGCAGAGGACTGGGGGTGTGTCTTGGTGGTATGGCAAGACCCTGGGTTCAATCCCTAGTACTACCTCCCTTCCCCCCCCAAAAAGTAGGACAAAGCCTTAAAAAGAAGATATTGCTTTTAGTTTCAGGTATGTTGAGTTTATTTTCTATTTTATTTTTTTCCTGTACTTTAAGGAAGGGTTTACAGGGTGTTCAGGGTCTCACTACTAGATTGGGCTCATAGGGATTCTGTTTACAGCCTCCCAAGTGCTGGGATTACAGGGTGGGCCACCACACCCATTCTCAAATGCCTTCTCAGAGTGTCCAAGGGGTGGGGCCGGCAAAGCAGGGCCCTGTGCCTGCTTCAGGCGCTTTAATCCCCTAAGCTATTTGGCCAGCCTAGTATGTTGAGTTTAAATTGCCTATTAAAGTCTAGTACAGAATACTCAGTTGGAAGTTATAAATGTAGGGCTGAGTTTAAAGGAGATATCTGGACTGGAGTTATAACGTCAGGAATTGTGTGTGATTGTTAAGTGAAGCTCTTAACAAATTCAGTAAATTGGACATGGGTGTCAAATGAGAAAAGAATTCTATTTAATGATAAAAGAATGGAAAGGAGGGTATAAGAAGCAGCAGATAAAAAGCTAAGAAGGAAGATGTAGGCTACCTATGCCAGTTAACAGTAATCTATATTTATTACAATGAGAGACTACTGCTAGAATAAAAGAGATAAGCAATCTTTATGGAATGATTTAAAAAAGCTAGTCTTCTGTTAATGGAAAAATCAACAAATTAATAATACATATAATGTAAAGATGTGTGCATATATTTTTCTCTAAGTCCAAATTGCTAACATATGGGAATAATTCCTAAGCTTTATAACCTCAAAATTTCCATGTTTTACTTTCAAGCTATACCTTTACAGAATACCAGGTCTTTGTGAATCAGGCATACTTCCTGAATAATAAATTACTTTAGAACCTATTGCACTGAGTCTTATTTTGATTGCTTTCTACGCTAGTTCGAAATAATAACCTCTGAGTTTAAAAAAGGATACAAGCTTGACACACAAAATCAACAAAATGGTCTATGTGCTAACAATGAACAACAGAAAACCAAAATTAAATAAATATTCTAATTGGTTAGTATAGTCTAATAAAATGAAGTAATCTATATGCTGAAAATTACAAAATATGGTAGTAGCTGACTGCTTGGAATGTGTCATGCCCTCTCCCAGAGGGCAGATCATTAACCACAAATGTTGTCAGTAAGGAATCTCTGGATAGAAAAAATTATTACTTAATAATGTTATAGAAAAAGATTATATGGCAAACAAATTTTAATTTATGTGTGTGTATATATGTCTATATAAGCAGATTTTGAAAATCATATTTTACTTATATATTTTCAGCTAATAACTAAAATTCTCAAGAGAAATGAAATTAAACATCAGAAAAAATGTAGGTGACAATCCTCTAGTGTTATTAGTATACTTTTCATACTGCAATTCAAAGCCTATTAAAACATTTCTTGTGAACTTTACTAATATTGAGAAACCTTCTTACAATGAAAATCTCTTACATTAAAACAATGGTTTAACGAGGCAAAATATTTATTGCTAGTATAACTCATTTATATCAAGTTAGCCTTTGTAGTATGACAGCTGCTCCTGAAAACTGAATTTTAAAACATTTCCATGTTAAATGTAATATAGAAGTAATCAGAAACTACATTAAAAAAACTGTTACACAGTTTGAAAACCTATCCAATCCTCATCTTCAAAACTCTGAGAAATGAGAACTAAATATGAAAGGATTGTATCATAATATAGAATTAGCTTTCATAGAAAGAGACACACTTCAGTTTTAATTAAAGTATTCAAACTTAAAAACAAGTTCCCTGGAACTCCAAGTAAAACAGTGAAACATTGCCTTTGATTACTACCCATGGTACTTCAAAAGTGAGTGAAATTGCCAACAACTAGGAAATATTAAAACTCGATTTGCTCTGTTTTAACTATGAATGTTGTCATCTTTTACTAATTTCACAGGAAAACCCTAAAACGGCTTCAGCCTGGTCAGTGAAGATGCAATACCGTTCAATCAGCCAAGTCCCATATTGGGTATCAGATACCAAAGACCCAGGACTGAAATCACTGCGTCTAGACTCTCTGGCACCTGCCTTCACTTATTTACCAGTGACCAGAGGCCAACCCCCACAGCTCTCCGTACTCACGCACACCTCCTCCACCCCCACTGCACTGCCCCAACATCTTTGAATGATTATGCCAGAACTTTGCATGCCTCCGGAATCTCTTCTGACTGGCTACTCCCTAACTTGTTTGAAGTGATGCTCTGGTTTCTGAACTTCAGCAGATAATGGCAGGCAAGAGCAAAGGGGGCTGTCAGAAAGGACGTTTACCAGCATTCAGCTAAAAAAAAAAGTCATATAGATCAAAGGGGGGCCAAATAGGACAACTGTGGCGGAAAGCATGTGGATCACTATGAAGACTGGCACACTCTTCTAAGGTAAAATATTAAATAACACCATGACATCACTACCTAACCACGTGTTTTGATTGGCTGTTCTATTGCCAATAAATACTTTTATAAGCATCTGGATGGCATTTGCACCTATTTAAACAAAACATACAGAGGTCTGAATAACAATGAGCTGTTAATGTGTACTTTTAACTATTATTAGAATACAACCATTAACTCCTGGTTATCCCAAATATGCTTACCTGAAACAATCTACCCACTGAGACCATTAAGACCATGCTTAAGCAAGACATAACTTGGCCCCCAAATTTTGCACAGTAGTGACAAATGGGAGAAGAAAATTAGAGTACATTGGATAATTAGAGACAATAAAGTACAAAGAAAACAAAGCAGTATAATTTTGGGAAATATTACAGTCTGTCTCATGTATTGTCACCTATTCTTGAGGTTAAACAATTTTTAAAAATTTAATTTAATCATACATTTATCCCATAAAACACATACTGTATAAGAAAGGCAGTACTTTATGAATGGGCTAAAATGGTGAGAAAGACTTGACATTTTACTGAGTATATTAATTTTTAACAGTGACACAGTTTATAAAGCCTATAAGTAATAGCTGATGTAAATAAAGAATAATCATAGTCTCATATTCTTTTTGAACAAATAAATGAATATTCATTACAACTGAGCCATTGTTTTCCTACCTTCAAAGTTATTTTAGGCTTCTCTTTGAAATATTTATATATAATACCTGAAGATCTTTACTAAACATCTATTAATATGCATAATTCAAGGAGAATAAAATACTAAATTAAAGTTGATATGGCTTTAGTTAGCAAGTTAATTGGATGCTGTTACAAGTAAGCTTGATGCCTCATTAGCAATTACTGACATTACCTCTGAAAAGAAATTTTACCTAATTTTTGTTTTGTTTTCCATCATTCTCTTATTTTTTCAGTAAATCTGGCACTGTGTAGCAAAACAATCATGCCAACATTTTCTTAAATTTTATGTCAAAACTGGACACTGTGAAGTATAAGTCATACCGGGGGGACAACCTGCTCGGGCTCCCCTCCTGTCCCTCTCTTGGACAGGAGCTTTCTTTGTCTCAATAAATATATTTTGCTCATAAAAAAGTATAAGTTATAGGCTAGATGGCACTTTAGATACAAATATTCCAGAGTATTTGGTTGTCTCAAATACTGCCTCACACTTTACGATATTTACAACATAATTTGGTATATAGCCTTAGTATTCATATTAGAGCTTAAGTTAAAAATAAGCTAAAATACCTTGAGCCCGGAATGAGTTTTGGAAAATTTTGTTCATGAAATACAGAATATAAACATTCTGAAAACTCTATCGCTGATTATGTCTGACGTTACAAAACTGTCTGGCAAGAAAACATGGAGAAATACTCCACGTTATGGAGTACTAATGAGCTCCAAAAAAGGATAAACTTGAGGCTTTTACAGGTAAATGGATACAACTAGAGAACACTAAAAGTGAAATAAATCAGACCCGCATGTGTAAACATTGTATTATCTTGCTAGTGTAAGAACCAGAAAGAATAAACAATTTCTGAAAGGTATAATGGATACTGTGAAAGGAAAAGAATCTGTTCAAAGAGAAGGAATAACAGGGATGAAGGAAAGATGAAAGAAAGAAGGAAAGGAAAAAAATATCTCTGTACATATACAGGATGAATAATGCCTATATTATTTTTTCCTCTCCTTTTTAATCTTTTATAACTTTCTTTTTGGCCAATTGTGTATGCCTATATCTGGTAAGCTGAACAACTAATTCGAAGACAATACGTAAATAACAACCACTGTTAGATTTCTATTATCTTGTTTATTGAAATTCTATTGTTTCTAGTATTTTTACTATTGTTTTATTCTCTAAAAAATAAAAAAGAGAAAATGTAAGGGAAAACTGTACACACAAACTTTTAAATGTCAGTAAGAAACAGGCTTATTTTGTTCACCATTAACAATAAAGCTTTATGCAAGCAGGCACAGGGGCGGGGGCTTTGATCCCTGGGCCTGCCGGGCAGGCCCTGCCCCCGGGGCCCGCTGAGACAGCAATTGAGACTGGGCATGGTGGTGCACCCAGTTTTTGGGAGGCTATAAACAGGCGGA